GTTGATGAGCGTTGAGACTTCCCACCTTTCACCTTATAGGGTCATCCATGCTGCTACATGCTATGAAGAAAAAACACATGGTTTGGAAAGTTAGAACATAAAATAACAGGGATGGAAGGGGACCTTGGAGATCTTCTAGTCTGAACAGATCTTATTCAAATAAGGCTGGAGATAACGCTCCATGACAAAACATTAGCAGGTTTTGCTTTGAATTGTTTAATTCAAATAATAGAATAGTATTTGTTCTATTCTTGTTGCTTTATTTGTGAAATATATAATAGGGCCCTCTTTATCTCTGCCTGTTCCACAAGGTTGCACAGGGTGGTCATGCTATAGGTTTCCTCTATGAAACTGTAGGAAGTTAGCACCTACCCCTTTCCTAGAAGAATGAAATATTTTGGGAAATATTAAAAAGGCAGAATATTATGTTTCCCTGGATGAGAAATGGAGAAACATGTTTTAAAGACAAAGTAGCTCCCATCTTCCTGCCCCCACCCTTTGTCAATGGGCCACAGGCAGAAACTCAATCTTTGTCAATGGACCATCATCTGCAACACAATAGGACCCATCTAGCAACAGAAACTAACACAATAGGACCCATCTAGCAACAGACACTCACCACACCGCACCTGGGAAGATTACATCAGCCAGCAAGGCTAGCTAAGACCCCCACCCCCTGGGAGTCTGACAACCAATCAGGATACTCTTTCTGGGCCCCAGGAAGTTCAAAGCCAGAGAGGGCATAAAACCCAGGGACTCACTGCGTCTTGCCCCTTTTCTGTTCAGGAACTCAAACCATGTGATCCTGTCCACCATTAAACCATCTTTCCAAGCAGTCGCCATGTTTCCAGTGTCTTTTTCCCCACTTGGAGCTGAACCCAGAAGGATATTTCTTCCTACAAAACAATGCATCTAATGGGACCTAGGAGGATGCCTTCTTTGTAACACTGACTATTATTTGAAACAAAGGATTCCAAAATTCCCAGAGGTTCAAACGGTACCACGCTATTGGTCTTCCATAGAGGTATAAAGACCTGGCTTCTCTACCATGTACTGCTGCAGGATGGCAGATGAACCCATTGTATGATGCACATTTTTCTTTTCACCATTCTCAATTATGTATATGGATGTTGTTTTTGTTGGGTTTTTCGTTTTCATATTATATTGCTTCTTTCTTGATTTCTTTTTGTACACACCCAGACTCACAAATTGTAAAACGGGGAACCACATGCAGTACGAGTGGAGAAGTAATTATGTTTCACATCTTAATACACTGAGATGTGGGATTTTATTTCTGTCTGGTTGCATTCTGGTTTTCTACAAACATTATTAATCCAGATATCTCTTCACTTGTTTCATTTCCTGGAGCTCCTCAACAAATGACACAATAAATAAAAGAAATGGTACCAAATTGGAAGGCAGGAAAAGGCTGTTAAATCTCAACCACCCCAATTTGCTATAAAGAAGTCTGTATTATAGATATACTCTACCAAATATTAAGTTATTAAGGTACTACTTATAGGCATATATGTTATTTGTATATATATGTTATATATATACAAATGTTATTTGTCTTATTTTTCTGTTTGTCATTTATATGGTGTGTTGTCTTCTTTTTTATTAATAAATGTAAATAAAGATTATTTTTTTAAAAAAAGAAGTCATTATATCAATTTATAATGTCTATTACTTACAAATGTCTGGCTATAAGTTTTGTTCTATATCATTGTATATTATTATACTGTTCTATATATTTTGAAGGGAAAAAAAACCTCCTAAATATAACTTCACTATCATTTCAGTCAATATTTCTTTTGATCAAGCCCTCCTGGATTGGACTTTTGGTCTGATAATACTGTAGATATTATCTTCACCTATTCTAAATAGGTATAAAAAGAATTAACAATACACATTAAAAAAAAGCATCTTAGCAACTATTCTGACCTTCATGTATGTGATATACTAATTACAATTTTCCATGTCTGTTCTACATTTATTTTAACCATGACTAGAGAATTCTTCAGAAAAAAACATGTCCTTAAGGTAACGATCTTTTATCCTGCAAGTTCTGCCAACTACTGGCTAGGCACTGTAAACACAAACATTATATGACATTTTTATTGGAAATCAATAGCTTGTTTGCCTGCAACAAATGAAAGTTACCATCTACAGTACATACCTTCTATGAAAGACTGTCTTAATGGCTCTCCAAAATTTAAAAAAACAACTTTTCTTTTTCAAAATATGGTTTTGAAGAGAAAGCATACTGTAATATTTGAGGTCCACAATTATAATGCCATATGAACAAGAACTGAACATGTGATGTGAAACACAAGTAGCCCCTTTTCTTAATATCTCTACTCTTGATAGAGTGTAGAGAATGTCTGTTGCTGCTTCATTGTCCTATTCAAGAAAGTGCTAATTGGAACACAACTTGCTCCTTCTACAGTATTTTACTTCCCCCCCTCCTTTTACCTTTGATTTAGATGAGCAAAGCAGAGAAAACCTGAAGTGCCCTCTCAGTCCAGAACAAATGATCATTCATAAAAAGTTCATTTAAGATATAACAGTGTTGACAAAGCCAAAAGGAATGTATGAAAAACTACTATTCTTTTTCATAAGACAAGGAAATGGGTCCCTATGAAATTATTGTCTTATTATACAATTATTTATTAATTTATACTATCCTGAATAATTATTGTTCTGTCCACTATGAAATATAATCAGTCAACTGAATTAGTAAGCAGGGATGGGCTTATGCAGTGTAAGTAAGCTCTGGTACTCCTACTGAAGCTGTGTTGCTCGGTTCATTTTCATTCTTCGCTGTGCCCCACAGAATCTACAATGGGAGGCCATATTCCAATGTAGATTATATAGATATTGATAGAAAGATAATTTTGTTAATTTGAGAAGAAAATGGAGATTAAATGTGAATAAAACTATAGGATAAGTATAACTAGAAGATACTTCAAATTCTTTGCTGCCGTATTATATTTTTCAGTCAATGCTTATTTCTCCCCTTTTAAAAATGTTGATCTCACAAAAAGGAATTTCATTTTTTGCAGTGTTTTCCTCTAGTAGGTTTGGCAATCAACAATAAAAAAATGTACCATACTTCTTATGGAAAATGGACAATTAAGTCACCCAAAGTACTAATTACAATATAGACTAGAAAGATGTTGGTTAATGTAATGCAATTTTAATGCTGATGCTAAAAATATTTAAGGGAACTTTATATTGTGATAACACATATTAACTCTTAGTATTGGAATGGTAACAGATTGAGAATCCAATGTCAGTTGAATTTTTAGCCACTAAACATCCTTTGAAGACCAAATAATACAAAGTAATTGTTTTAACTCAAAAGTATCAATTAATTCATGGCAATCTTCCATTGCTATGGAAAAAGAACACAAAGAACAGGAAAGAATTAGATAACTCCCCCCCACCCCCAGTTCTAGTTCAAATCATTCTGCCCAAATTTATTTATGCTTAACTCATTCTAAATCACTTATTCAAATGATCTCTAAATGGTGTATGTTGTAAGACATTCTATTTTTCCTCGGGATTTCTCATGGTCTCCACACTTCCCTCCTAATTTAGACTGTTTGACTCTCTTAACCGGATTACCTTAACCATGGTTTTTCCAAATCACCCAGGCTGTTTCAAAACTCTTTGAACCACATAACAGTCACATAGCGTGGTTTCGCACAACATACTAGATTAAAATGTGGCTGGCTAGTTTACGGGTTCAGTAGATCATGTAATGTCTGCCTTTTGAGCAGTTGTCTTTGGGGAGTTGCATGGGACTGGGTTATCTTATCTTTGGATTCCTGTTTGGGAGACCTGAGGGCAGATTGAGGCTCTTAAAAATTAACCACAAAAACCCAATCCCAGAAATCAGTTTTCAATGCCCTGCAGAACCATGCAATGTGCAAAGAAAGCTGCCCCTTTGATCATTTTTAAACTGTACAGGTAGTCCTCGATTTATGACCCCAATTGAGCTCAATATTTAGGTTGCTGAGTGAGACGTTTGTTAACTGACCTTTGCCCCATTGAAGGACCTTTCTTGCTACTGTTGTTAAGGGAATCACTGCTGTTGTTAAGTTAGTAGCACTGCTGTTAAGTGAATCTAGCTTCCCCATTGACTTTGCTTGTCAGATGTTTGCCAAAGGTGGATCCCATAACTCCGGGGACAATGCAACCGTCATAAATATGAGTCTATTGCCAAGCATCTGAATTTTGATCACGGAACCACATGGAGATACCACAATGGTTGTTAAGTGTGACAAACACAGAAGTCACTTTTTTCCAGTGATGTAACTTTTGGACGGTCACTAAATGAAGTGCTGTAAATCGAGGACTACTGTATTCAGGAAAGCTAAGCAGGTCATTGGAGGTATTCCCAAGGTTCGTGTGTGTGTGTGTGTGTGTGTGTGTGTGTGTGTGTGTGTGTGTGTGTGTGGCATATGCAGCTCCTCAAATCAAGTCAACTGGGTAAACCGAGGCACAGCTCCGTATTTTTTTTTAACAAATCCATTTCAGTTCCCCTCAAATCCCAATTCACAGGACATCAAATTTAACCCCCGTCTGACTAAAAAGAGGTCCTTTCCCCAGAGTAATTAAAACTCCCAGAGCGCGGTTTTTTTTTTCACGGCAGGGTCAACTGCCTCAAACATTTGAGGGTCTTCCTCACGGAGACCCTCTCCCACAGGGGTTACAGCTAATCCCCACCACCTTTTCCAGAACCCACGGAGAAGAAGCCCCCCCCTCCCTCGGCTGAACTTCGGGAGCGGCTGCAAAGTGCCCCCTAAGAGAGACGAAGCGCTCTCCCCCCCACCGCCGTCCCGCTCAGGCGACCGAATGTCAAGCCCCGCAACCGGGGGGGGGGTCGCCGACCGAGGGGTTGGTATTCCGGGGAAGAGGCGCCCGCCTCTCGCTCTGTTGCTGCGCCTCCCTCGTCTCCCCTCTCTCCCTTCAGCTTCGGTGGCTCCTCCTCAGCTTTTCCACCTATGCCGCGGGCGACCACAAGCCAAGGAACCGGCGCCCAGTCGCGGCGGGGCGGAGGGGAGGAAGGAAAGGAAAGAGGGGAAAAAAAAAACAAAACACCACACTACACACACACACACACCCGGGAAAGCCGAAGGCACTAGCGGCTGACCTCAGCGCTGGGGAGCGGCCGCCCAGCGGCTCACGCGGCTTGACCAATAAAAGCGCAGCCCAAACGGCGGCTCCGGCCGTTCGAGGGCTTAGCCGCCGTCGCTTCTGCCTCGCCGCTCCCGACTTTTTGACCGACCTGAGCGCCTCGAGGTGGGCAGCCCGACCCGGCCGAAAAAGGATTTGACTCGGGGGTCGGCTTGGCCGGCGAGCGGTGGGGCAAAGATGCTGTTTTGGCACACGCAGCCGGAGCATTACAACCAGCACTCGACGGGCAGCTACTTGCGGTGAGTCAGGCGAAAGGCGAGTAGTCGCGGGCGGGTCGGAGAAAAGGACGCGGGATGCCCACGAGCCAAGAGGAAGGAGGGGGGAGGGAAGGGAAAAAGAAAAGAAAAAAGAAAAGAAAAGAAAAGAAGAAAAGAAGAAAAGAAAAAAAGAAAAGAAAAGAAAAGAAAAGAAAAGAAAAGAAAAGAAAAAAGAAAAAACGCGCGTGGCAGGTCAACTGGTCAGGAGAAGCCAAAGTGGCCGCTGAGGAGAAACCATAGCCCGCTCTTTTGGCAAGGCTGCGTTGCATTTTTTGGGGGGGGGGGCGCTTGGGTCTGAATTGGGGGGGGGGGGGGGGGGGGGGGGGGGCTGAATTGGGGAAGGTTTCTGAAGCGAGGGGCACGGGGGTGACCCGAGGGCATCTTAACAAGGGCGAACCAGCCCGTGTTATTCAACGGGCCCTCTTCAGGAGGGATCCTGAGCGTTTGGTGAGAGGCGTTGGTGGGGAAGCTGCCGGCTGTCCTGCGGGCGGGAGGAGCGGGGAAACGCAGCTTTATAAGGAAGAACCAACCTGCGCCCGGAGTTTGGGTGGGTTTATACTGTATGTAATCGCACTCTCGGTCCAGGAGGGCGTTTTTGGGGGGCATTGGTTGCACTGAGGGCGTAAACACCTCTCCTTTCTAAAAGATTTGACATCATACGATGAAAGGTGGGGGAAACAACAAAAGAACCGAAAGAGGAAAAATACAACCGAAGGACTGGTTTTTTGAATAAAAAGGTTTGCTAACAAGGATCGCGCCCTTTTCCCCAGATCAATAGGAGTATAAGAGCCAAGTTATACATCTATGGAGATTCTCAGTCATCCAGGTCATGCTTGTCCCAAAGGTACTTTTTCTGAAGAAGAGCTGAAGAAGCTTCTTGGTTGAGAAGGGAGAGGTCTTCAAAGAAAAACCGGAAAGCACAGTTGCCTCTTGAAAAAGCACCTTTGAGACATCCAAGTTATACAGGAACACTGCTTGAGCGTCTTTATTTGGGGATGACTTCCTGGATGTTAGAATGTCTGAAGTCGTTGATTCCATCCTGGGAGCCTGTTTGCATTGCGGTTACTCTATGAACTGGGAGAGAGGGATGTATCTAGGCTGTTACACACTCTGTGAACTGCTGCCTGTTCTCTGTGTAGTGGAATATATTGGGGTACCTAATGACCATCCCCCATAGTGGATATCTGAGACATATTTAAAGAAGTGAACATTACAGAAAACCTCTGCCGATTACAGCTCCTATTTCCTACCAGTGTGTGGGTTAACTATTTCAGATCAGACTAATCAGATTAATTAAAAATGTGTGACTTAGGGAAACTGATTTATGGTGTAGTCTGATGATGGGAAGATGGTGCATCATATAATTGGGACTAAATAACCAGCAGACTGGCATTGTGTGGTTCCCCCATTTGTGTTTTGTCAATTATGGTTTGTAAAATTGTCAGTAGTTGCCTATCTCATTCTTTTTTCCCCTCACTGCCTGTTGTGGGAGAGTCAGTTTGGTAGTCAGTGTTGAAATTTGTAATATACTATCTTAATACATTTACTAAAGAATAAATACTTTCACTAAATGCTATTCTAATTTGGCAGACATATCTTTTTAGTAACCTATGAGTCTCTTTTTTGTGTGTATATGTCTTGGCTTATAGTCAGTGTTTGACTCCTGACAATTACCTGGACAAGTCCCTGCAATTTTCCTGGCAATGATTTTTGGAAGTGATTTGCCATTGCCTTTTTTATAAGACTGAGATAATGATTGGCCCAAGATCACCCAAGTGATGTCCTGCCTAAGGTAGGGCTAAAATTTGCCATCTCCCTTTTTCAATCATCATACTAGAAAAAGCAATACACCAAACTAGCTGTCCATATAAATCTCTGTAACTTTATATATTCACCTACAAATGTATGGATTTTAGTCCATCATATCTTTATTAGAATCCAATAATCAATGAACCCAAGGGAACTTTCAATTCGAAAGATGTAGTAGCAAAAAAAAAAGATGTAGTACCAAAAAGTGGGGGATAGAATCAGAAACATTTGAAAATAAGGCAAGAATTATAGTGGTTATAGTGTGTCTCTGTTTGACTTAGTTTCTAAGGTTCAAAACCTTTGTTTTTGCTGCAGTTCCTTATGCAAATCCGTGTCAGAATATGCAGCTCTAATGCAAAGCACAGGGGGGAAAACCCACAAGAAGTAAAAGAAAAGGAAAGCAGGAGATAAGGAAAAGAAAAAAGGAAATGTAACTGAATCAACATTCCACAAAACTATTCATTAAATCACTCTATCCCTGCAAGTCATCCTTGCTTCAACCATCTCTCTGGAGTATTATAGAAACACTCTATAGAAACACTGCTATCTAAGAAACAAAAGATCTTATGACATTTCAAAGCGAAGAAAAATAACCAATTTTAAAGACTAAAAACTGTCCAATTTATTATAGAATAAGAGTTTGGAGGATATGGTCCACTCCATCAGATATGTGGAAACTCTTAAGTAGACTGTTAAGTAGACTGTGATCAACAAAACTTTCATATAATAAAAGATGCTTAGTTTGTTGCAGAAAAAAACAAACATAATCCACAGGTCAGTCCTTCTTAACTAGATGTAGATGATTTTAAAAAGAAAATAACCTATTGGCTACATTGAATAAAGATGCTCAAATGAGGTTGCCTGAAGTAAATCCATTTAATGAACACATTTGGAAGACACAAAGTGTTCTTTCAGAAGTGCCAAACACTTGTAGATTTAAAAGACTCTCTAATGGTTCTTTAAATCTGTGGCCTCAACCCTGCCCCCTCTACCCCCCCACTCATCTATGCATGATGAGTAGTTCCTTTAATTCATTTTACTTACTGGACTTGATGAATCCAGTTTTTTCCTGCTTTATTTCTATGTTAGTCATGTTCTACTTAAGTATCTTTAAGCAAAAAGGGTAGTGAACAGTAAAAGAACAAATGGAAGGTCTTCATTTGAGCCCCCTAAGCAGCAAGCCATAAGTGGAGGACCCGTTTGTTTTAATATTATTTTATGTATGTAGTTAGGGAATGATTTTTAAAAATGTATAATTGTTCATGCTGCTTAAAAATACATTGTTTGGCAATATCTTTTTTAAGCTAACTAAAATGCCATAATAAGTAAATAATTTTTCAGACTTCACAGAAGTCTTCATTAGATTGGATAGGAATGAGGGTAAGGAAAGCAGAATTGGTTGAGTAAAATCAGATTCACAAATCATATTGTTTGTTTGGCTTGCCTTTGTTTCTGTGTTAATTTAGTCATTGTGCCTGAGAAGCCACCCACTAAAGTCTTGCTTAGAAGTTTTAATGTCATTATCTAAGGATTAGGTAAAGGTTCCCCTCACACATATGTGCTAGTCGTTCCCGACTCTAGGGGTGGTGCTCATCTCCGTTTCTAAGCTGAAGAGCCAGCGCTGTCCAAAGACATCTCAGTGGTCATGTGGCCAGCATGACTAAATGCCAAAGGTGCACGGAACTCTGTTACCTTCCCACCAAAGGTGCTCCCTATTTTACTACTTGCATTTTTAAAGTGCTTTTGAACTGCTAGGTTGGCAGAAGCTGGGACAAATAACAGGAGCTCACCCTGTTACACGGCACTAGGGATTCGGACCGCTGAGCTGCCGACCTTTCAATCAACAAGCTCAGCATCATAACCACTGAGCCACCGCATCCCCTCTTAAGGATTAGAGTGTGTCTCAAAAATAGAATAGAATAGAATTTTTTATCGGCCAAGTGTGACTGGACACACAAGGAATTTGTCTTGGTGCATATGCTCTCAGTGTACATAAAAGAAAAGTTACATTCATCAAGAATCATAAGGTACAACACTTAATGATAGTCATAGGGTACAAATAAGCAATCAGGAAACAATATCAATATAAATCTGATATAATAATATAATATAATAATTATAATAATATATTATATTACAATATAATTTATGCTGCTCTTAAGTGAAGCCTGAGACCTGTTGCGTAACACTTTGCCAACTCTAATATAGTTAAAGCATGTGAGAATTTGCTTAGGTCAGGAGCCAAGCTTCTTAAACCTTATCAACTAGTACACCTTTTCCCCACTTGTCTTTCCAATGAAGCACATTTCAATTTACAGATTTCCCCAGCCAGCAGCACATCCTGCTGGTTAAAAAAGTCTGGGAGTTGTCATCCTTACTTACCTACCTACTTTTCAATAGATCTGAAAGGGGTAAGTAAAATAATTGACACACAAATGTGAATAATGACACTTTGGGAAGCTTAATTTCCCAGAGGCAAACACAAGTACTTCTGAATTTGCTGAAGTCATATAATTGTAAGATAAGGAACCCTGCTGTGATCATTGTCATTTTATGAGCTTGCTGGGCCTGCCTTGGTAAAGTTGTTACTTCCATGGGTTGGGAGGACACAGCTGTCTTTAGCTTCTCTCATCACTGCTGATCTTTGTTAGACACACTTAGTACATTTTTCTGTTCTGGGCAATTCTGAAAGGCACAGGAATCATCTGAGACACCTCTGCTGGGCTGGAGTAGAAACTATCATTGTTTCAATCTTATGTTTCAGTTAATATAATAAAATTATGCTACAGGACACTCAGGCTAATCATGTTTAGCCAGCATGTTGCATGGAGCCAGGCCACTTGATGTTTATGATGTAGTATATTGTGCAAATCCAGAAATTGAAGTAAATTCATTCATTTAACCATGGATGAGCAAGTTGTGTAAAAGGCGAATTCATAGCAGGCTTGTGGAAGCTGATGTTCATTGTACAGTCAAGTTCCATCCACATGTGATTTCCCAGGTACTGCTTATGTTGTTTTTAAATCTCTTTGTGTGAAGGACGGAATCCTTTGAGGCTAATGCTGAGTCGCTCTTTTTAATGATGTTTACCTGCATTATTTCTGACCAAGATAAAGTTCCTTGAAAAAGACAATATAGTTTCGTTTAATTTGGAGTTTAAATTCACAGGAGTC